TCATAGGCTACTGGATCAAATCAATTGAAGGTCCAGAGCATATACAATTATTATAGACCTCAAAATGACTAAAAACTTTAAGCTTTATTATAAATACATACAAAAATTTTTGCTAGTCGATTGAAAAAAAGATCATTGGCACAAATATGAATAAGGCACGGGTGGGTCTTATCCCTAGACTCGGGGCGATGTCGACCAAGGCCTTCCATAATTTGCTATTGGATGCAGGCGGATACTTGCCTATTATGTTTTTTTTATTGATTTTGGAAGTGTTTTTATCTATTTTTATAGTGCGAGACGTTCCTTGTAAGTTGTTCTTTATTTATTTTTCTGAGATACGGAAATTGATTGGATTGCATACATGCAGGAAGTTAATAGCTTCTTGAATGGAACCCTAGACTATGACAAGATTGAAGGCCAAACTGGGCCTTGTGTGTACGATGAAATTGTTTTTTTGTGATTACTTTTAGCTACCCTGCCGGCTTCTTATATATATATTCAATACTTTTCAAGTTGACAAAACACGGAACGGATATACGCTTGGCACAATATATATTTGTCGCTTTATATCTTTCAACTCTGGTCCTTGTCTTTAATTTGTATCGCCTTTCAAGACGTGTAAGTTGGTTGTGCCAACTTTTGATTGTTTAATTTATTCATAAATTAATATCTAATTCAACATTTCTATTCAGGTACCGCCATATGCAATACTACTCATGTGTTGCATTTCATATCGTATTCACTCAATATATATGTTGCGATTATTTAATGATCCGTTTGCCATGCTTATGCTCTATGCTTCAATCAATGCCTTTGTTTATGGTCGTTATAGCTTATCCAGTGTTCTTTTAAGGTAAATATTATTGGATACGAATTCTTTTTCATATGTATTTTGCTGTTGTCTATGTCGATAGCTCTTTTAAGGATACTGTTCACTAGAAATTATTCTAGATTGGTAGGAAGCAAAGGGGTTGGTGTCTACACGGAATCCCTGTAATCTGTCTTATTTATCTTACATTTATGGTCCTTTATAGCATATATAATCTTGATTTGTGTTTTTGGTTTATTATTGGTTAATTAAAAACAGTAATAAGCTCTTATCTATCTTTTTGAATGAATTCTTATTCAGAAATATTTTCCATAGTATTTACTACGTTTCTAGATTTAGTTAAACTATTTGCAAATTTTATTATTGTTTCGTCAGTCTACTTATAAATTGATTGATTCTATACAATATTTTTGTTGTTGTCCTGTTTTCCCTTAGATAATTCATTTACCGTCACAGGTTTACAAATAATTCAATCATTCAATAAATACATCTTGGTTAACCTTTTTGGGCTAAGCTAGAATATATTACTATAACTATGTATACTATATTCCTAGTGTATTTATCATTATTACCTTAATATTGTGGGATTTAGCATAGCAGTTTCGATCAAGATGAATATTCTTCTTTTCGTCCCTGGTTTCATCACAATACTGCTTGAATATCGAGGAATCATTGAAACTACAGGCCACCTGGCTGAATGTGGTATAGTTCAGGTAAGTGATTCGAAAAAAAATCAACACGCACATCGAGGTTTTTTAATTTCTGACTCAGTTCTCTCATTACTAGCTTCTTCTCGGAGCTCCATTCATCTTTCACAACAGTGGAGCCTATTTTGCCAGTGCTTTTAATTTCGGCCGTCAGTTCATGTACAAATGGACCGTCAATTGGCGTTTAATCCCTGAGCACCTCTTTTTGGATCATAGGTTCCATATGCTTTTGCTGGCACTCCACGGCAGTTTTCTTCTATGTTTTCTTATAAAATATGTAAAGTAAGTTGGCTCTTTTGCTACTGTATTTCTTTTATTTTTTCATATGATTTTTTAAACTAATTATCACTACTATTGATTTCATAAATAGTTGTATCATTATTTTCTCTCTGCATTTGTTCTATTTCTTTAATCAATTACTAATTAATTGCCAACACAACTACTTATATGATCTTTTACTTATATTTATCGTGGAACTATAACCTCTTTTTCCACTGTTATTAGGGCTAAAGGAGGAATTCGCCGCTTCCTAAAACTTGGCTCTTCTGGTGATGTCATCCTAGATACATCAAGTAGGCCTAAATAGCTTGACATTCTTGGAAATCTGTTTGCAGCCTCCTTTATTTTATTTTATTTTGTATGCTTGTTCATCTATTTTCCATTTAGCAAGACTTAGCTTGTCTGGCTTCAGCTGCGAATTTAATATTTTAATTATTCATGATAGTGTCA